CACGGTTTGTGTCATATCCTCCACATTGCCAGCAGATGGGGCGATTCTCCCTCCACTTTGAGCAAATTCTTTCCCACATAGATTCATAGAGTCCAAGGCCAGAAGGGACCATTGTGGTCACCTAGTCTGACCTCCTGGCTAACACAGACCATAGGGCTTTCTCAAAATAATTCCTAGAGTGGATCTTTTAGAAAAAATATCCAATCAGTCAAGTCCAGCGAACTCCTCAGTCATCTCTTTTAAAACTCTTGGCTGCAAGTTATCTGGACTGATTTAAAAATATCTAACTTTACTAGCTTCTGTTTAGCACCCTCCAGAGATACTAGTGGAAAGGAAAGAGTGCTATCATCATCATATGATGAGACTACATCATCTGTATATATACAGAACAGAAATATTTATTGAACACTTCAGCCTTTTCTGCATTATTATTGATAATTCTACCATTTCAATCTAGTAATGGCCCAATAACATTGTCAGGATTCTTTTTGTTCCTTATATAGTTAAAAACTTCCTTCTTATTGTCTTTAACACTGCTGGCCATAGATTTCTCCTTGTGTTCCTTTTGCTTCTCTTATCAATTTTCTATAATTCCTAGCTTCTGTTTTATATTTATTACTATCAATTTCCCTTTCTTTCATTCGCAATATAGCTGCCTTCACTTTCCCTCTAAACCAGGTCAGATTTTTAACCAATATGGCCTTCTTGTAGGTTGGCTGGGCATCTGATCCATTAACTTCAGTGGAACTAGCGTCAATCAGCCATAGCGACATTGGAGTGCATGGGCCAGATCCCCAGCTGGTGCCAATGAGCTATTTCTCAGACATTGACTGTGTTTGTTGAATGTAAAAAATTCTCTATCGTCGTGTGTGCATCAGCGAGAGGTACTAGTCCAGTGATCACAGAAGGAGTACTGGGAGCCAGGACTCCTGGGTTCTATCCTAGCTCGGGAAGGGGAGTGGGGTCCAGTGGGTTACAGCAAGTGGCTAGGATCCAGGATTCCTGGATTTTATCCTGGCTCTGGGAAGGGAGTGCGTATGACAGAATATACCCCTGTATTCACACCCTACACACTATTGTAATACTCTTTGTACAAAGCATGCCTTGTAAGGCATCATTTGAAAACTCATAATTTGCTGGTCATTATTGTCCTGGTAAACTATGTGTGGCGCCATTGTATGTGACATCACAAGATTAACACATGCTCCAAACCCCAGCCCTGCCCAGGCAGGTCTGTCCCAACCAAAGGAAGGAACGTGTGCTTGCCTTAATTTGCATTTAAGCAGTAAACAGAATCATCAAGCAGGGAGGGAAAACAAAGGAAGTTCAAACCAGTGGAAAAACCAGCAGGGAACATCCTTTCACAGAGACTCTTTGGCTCCTGGGTCTCAGCTGGAAACATTGTTCAAGAGAGGGACTGAAACTATCAAAAGGAAGGACAAACGCCCCAAGACACCCGCCCCCCCGTCCACCTCATTCTCCGGACCTGAGAAGACAAAGGAAACAGCTGTTGGACTCTGGGGAAGGGGGTCCTGATGTCATCTGCTGGAGCACAGGGTGAGGAAGTTTGTTTTGCAACTCCGATAGTTTCTTAAGCAGATACTTGGAAGCATTTTATCTTCATTTTTCCTGGAAGAATTTCTCACTTTGATGCTTCATTGCTCACAGTCTCTTGAAATTTGTCTCATTGTAATTAATAATCTTGTTTTACTGTTTTATCTAATCCAGTGTGTGGAAGTTGAAGTGTCTGGGTAACTATTTAAGGTAATAAGATGGTATGAAATAGAACAAACTTAATATATTTTTACTGTCCAAGAGAGGACTGGGCAGGACAAGATATGCATTTCTGGGGGAAGATCTGGGACTGGGGATGTGCTGGGGTCACCCTGCCAGTATAACCCAGGCTGATGAGATGGAGTGTGGCTTGCATGCTGTAAGGCTGTTTGTGAGCAAGGCAGGTGGGAGTACTTCAGGAAGGCATTGTATGGCACCTGAGGTTGCAAGGCAGGGGAGACTCAATCCCTCACTGGTCTGGATGTAACAGTGGGATCTACTGGTTTAGAGCAGGGGGTCTGGGAGCCAGGACTCCTGGGTTCTAATCCTGGCTGTGGGCGGGGAGTGGGGTCTAGTGGGTTAGAGCAAATGGGCTGAGTGTGAGGACTCTTGGCTTCTATAGACAACTCTGGGAAGGGAGTGAGGTCTGGTGGTTAGAGCAGGGGGCTCAATCTCTTTATCTTATCAATAAGAGAGAAAGATGATGGATAAGGGCACATGAGGACCTTCACTGGGAGAAAATACTGGCTACTAAAGGGCTCTTTAATCTACAGAGGAAAGAAACAGCAGCTGGAATCATAGAATATCAGGGTTGGAAGGGATCTCAGGAAGTCATTTGGTCCAACCCCTTGCTCAAAGCAGGACCAATCCCCAACTAAATCATCCCAGCCAGGGCTTTGTCAAACCTTAAAACCTTTAAAAACCTCAAAGGAAGGAGATTCCACCACCTCCCTAGGTAACCCATTCCAGTGCTTCACCACCCTCTTAGTGAAATGTTTTTTCCTAATATCCAACCTAAACCTCCCACACTGCAACTTGCGATTATTACTCCTTGTTCTATCATCTGCTATCACTGAGAACAGTCTAGATCCATCCTCTTTGGAACCCTCCTTCAGGTAGTTGAAAGCAGCTATCAAATCCCCCCTCATTCTTCTCTTCTGCAGACTAAATAATCCCAGTTCCCTCAGCCTCTCCTTATAAGTCATGTGCGCTAATCATTTTTGTTGCCCTCTGCTGGACGCTTTCCAATTTTTCCACATCCCTCTTGTCGTGTGGGGCCCAAAACTGGACACAGAACTCCAGATGTGGCCTCACCAATGTTGAATAGAGGGGAACGATTATATCCTTCGATCTGCTGGCAATGCTCCTACTTATACAGCCCAAAATACCGTTAGCCTTCTTGGCAACAAGGGCACACTATTGACTCATATCCAGCTTCTTGTCCACTGTAACCCTAGGTCCTTTTCTGTAGAACTGCTGCCTAGCCACTTGGTCCCTAGTCTGTAGCGGTGCATGGGATTCTTCCGTCCTAAGTACAGGACTCTGCACTTGTCCTTGTTGAACCTCATCAGATTTTTTTTGGCCCAATCCTCTAATTTGTCTAGGACCCTCTGTATCCTATCCCTACGCTCCAGCGTATCTACCACTCCTCCCAGTTTAGTGTCATCTGCAAACTTGCTGAGGGTGTAATCCACGCCATCCTCCAGATCATTAATGAAGATATTGAACAAAACCGGCCCCAGGACCGACTGTTGGGGAACTCCGCTTGATACCAACTGCCAACTAGACATGGAGCCATTGATCACTACCCATTGAACCCGATGATTTGGCCAGCTTTCTATCCACCTTACAGTCCATTCATCCAGCCCATACTTCTTTAACTTGCTGGCAAGAATACTGTGGGAGACCATATCAAAAGCTTTGCTAAAGTCAAGGAACAACACATCCACTGCTTTCCCTTCATCCACAGAACCAGTTATCTCATCACAGAAGGTAATTAAGTTAGTCAGGCATGACTTGCCCTTGGTGAATCCATGCTGGCTGTTCGTGATCACTTTCCTCTCCTCTAAGTGCTTCAGAATTGATTCCTTGAGGACCTGCTCCGTAATTTTTCCAGGGAGTGAGGTGAGGCTGACTGACCTGTAGTTCCCCGGATCCTCCTTCCTCCCTTTTTTAAAGATGGGCACTACGTTAGCCTTTTTCCAGTCATCCGGGACCTTTCCCAATTGCCATGAGTTTTCAAAGATAATGGCCAATGGCTCTGCAATCACATCCGCCAACTCCTTTAGCACCCTCGGATGCAGTGCATCCGGCCCCATGGACTTGTGCTCGTCCAGCTTTTCTAAATAGCTGAAACCAGATAAATACAAATTGGAAATAAGGCACCGCTTAGGGTGATCAGCCATTAGAACGCACTCCTAAGGGAAGAGGTCAATTCTCCACCTCCTGATGTCTTCCAATCTGGATTGGATCGTTACTGGTAAGGGGTCCGGGCACCGCGGAGATGGAAATGGGACACTTTCCTGCTCTATCTCTGGGAGATATTACTGTGTGTAGTCCCATGGTGGGAGGGGTAACCACAGCTCACCCAGGAACTAAGAACAGGTTGTAACAACTTCAGAGACATACCCCCTCCCCATCCACCACAGAAGATGCTCCCAAATATTGGTTCAAACTGGATTCTCCCAAGATGAGCCTATGAAGAAAGGACAGTGGATAAATAGCTTGGTTGACAACAGGCTTGGGGCTTAGTTGGTTCTGCCCCAGCTAAAGGAGAGGAGCTCCGGTCCACAGAGGGCCCCAATCCAGGTCCAAGCAGAGAGGCCAGGCCAAGGGTCTGAGGGCTGGAAAGACTGACACCGGCCAGAGCCAGGGTGGGGATGGGTGGGTTGATCTCCGGTGAGCCTATTAGCATGCGTGGAGGGTCTTTTGTTGCTTTGAAATGTTTCCCCAGTAGTGCTTCCCCCTCAGGACGCAGTGGGCTTGGTTAGAAAGTGCTGTGTGATCACTGGAAACCGCTAGCAATTGTGTTGTTTATAGACTCTGAGAGGAAGGCAGCGCAAACCCAGCTATAGACAGAGGTACTCGCCGGAGAAGTCCCAGTGAAGGCAGGAGACCGTGCAGCCAGGAAAATCCCCACACGGGAGGATGAGAGATGTACATCTCCACCCAAGAGAGGTGACGGCCGAGGAGCTGGGAGCCTAGCGCAGGGACACTTGCTGGATTGCAGAGTGGGAAATACAAGCTCAGGAGCTTGGACCTGGGAGGGGGCAGCAGGAAAAGGTGTGTGGATGGTCCACAGAACAAGGGCCGGTGGCATCTGGAGGCGAATAGATGGGCTGTGGAGGGGAAGAGGCCGAGATTGTGGTTGCGCCAGGATTTCCTGTGTTGGGTTGGAGCCTGTGACTTCTCAGAGATCATGGGATGGAGGGAGGGAGGGCCGAGGGATGAGCAACGCATCCTGTCATGGGATTGTCCATCTCGTGGGACGGACAAAGCAGAAGGGTCAGTCACCCTTCTGGAGGGAAACACAGCTGGTGGCTGAGCTGAGAACACAGCTCCCAGCCCCAGAGGGACCCGTTCAGCATGGCGCTAACTCTCCTTCTGCCTGTGCTGGGTGAGTGACTTCCCTGTCTGTCTGTCTGTCTTCTCCTGGTACCCACCTCCCCCATTCTCCCCAGCATCTCATCTCTTGTGTACTTGGAGGTCTCATCAACTCTTCTCTCTCTTTCAGCCTCTCTCCAGCTCCTTCCCCGGCTGGTGTCCCCTGCAGGTAATGCTGATGCCGGTCCTTGCTGAGATGCCACTGCTGGGGGTAGGAATGTCTTGGGAGCCGGGGTGGGGTATTTCCCCCCTTTGAAGCTGTGAGATGTGGAAGTGCAGGTAGGGGGTAGCTGAGTCCAGAGGTCTCCAACTCCCTCTTTGCTCCTTATGCCTGGCCGGCCCCAGTTCATTTCGACTAACACCGTTCCTGTCCCAGAGCAGGTGAGATGAGTTGGGTGGGTCTCCGTCCAGGTCCCAGCAGAGAGGCCCCCACCAGGCAATGAAAGATGGGTGCCCCCCTGCCTTCTGCAGGGGAGGGAGCCATAAACTGGCGGGGGTGGGGGGTTGTGGGGACCTGGGTGGAGAGGAACTCAGGGCTAATGATGATGAGCTCAGCTCCGGGACCAGCTGAGCCAGCACACTTCCCCTGGTGGAGGGAACCTGCACATTGTGAACGCTTCCGCTCAGAGAGGAAGTGGCCTGACCCCACATCTATTTGGAGTTCCCAGCTCCTCTTTCTCTTGTACCTTGCATCACGCCACGGGGCAGCCCTGAGGGGAGCTGATGCGGGATGGCCTCCCTCCACCTTCCCAAGTGGGGAGAGATTGTGCCGTGTTCACCTCAGCCCTGTCACACACAGGGCAGCTGCCCCTTCTCACAGCGAGGGGCTCAGGCCCTGGGCAGACTCAGGAAGGTCACAGTCAAGTCACCATCTTGAGATTTCCTCCTTCACCACTCTTTCATCTCTTTTTAACAAATGCCGAGATTCTGCTTGAATCCCATGACCCCATGGTGGGTTATGAGCCGGTGCTAATGGAACCTTGGTTCCCCAGCTAACCACCCAGCCCCAGCCTTCTCCGTGCATCCCCAGAAGGTTGAATACCTACTTGGAGACATCGTGGGCCTCACATGCTCTGCTCCCCCTGCAAAGGATCGGGTGTCGGTATTCCAATACTACAGCAATATGGGATGGGCTGTTTCAGCCAAGGTGTCCTCCGGGTGGAAACACACCTACAACCTCAACATCACCGAGCCACGGATTGCGGGTTCGTACAGTTGTAACTATTACACGGGCAAGCCTGGTCATTTCGTCCACTCCGGGGAGAGCAACCGGATCACCATCAGAGTCAAAGGTGAGGTCCGTCTGTCTGTCTGTCTATCTATCTAACAATCTATTGTGGCAAGGCACCCCTTTTGCCTTGCTGGACTTAGTGCTCCCTCCTCTGGCAGGGACATGGCCTCGGGTAAGTCAGCCCCACTCTGGAGCGTGTCTGTCTTCCCTCTTCGGGGTTTGTTTCTCAGAGCTTTCCCGGTCGGCCTCGGGGCAGGCCTGAGGAGTGCTCCTCTGCCAAACAAAGGGAAACAAGTCTATAATGCACCGAAGCAAACTTCTCCCCCTCCCCGGAGAGAGGTTTTAACAGGTTTCAGGCAGCCCTTAACTGGACTCAGGTGTCCCTGATTGACCTGAAGTAATCCCTTCCCAGCTTGTAGGAAAAAGGGCCTTTCCCATTCTAGGGCTGACACACCTGTTTTCCCAGCCCCTCCTGCAGCTGTCCAGCCTGACTTTGTCACACGAGCTACAGCAGGGGTTTCCAACTCAATTTACCTTAGCACTGGTGCCAGTCCTCAAATCCTCCCAGTGGGACAATAATGTCACTCATGCCGCCCAAAACTCCGCCCCCCCAAACTCTGCCTCCCACCTGCCTAAGGCTCTGGGTGGGGGGAGGGGGTTGGGTGCAGAAGGGGTGAGAGGTTGGGCTCTGGAAGGGAGTTTGGGTGGGGGAGGGGTTCTGGGGTGCAGGCTCTGGGCTGGGGCAGGGGATTGGGGTGCAGGGTGCAGGCTCTAGGAGGGAGTTTGGATGCAGAAGGGGTGAGAGGTTGGGGTCTGGAAGGGAGTTTGGGTGGGGGAGGGGGACTGGCATGCCGGCTCTGGGACATAGTTTGGTTAGAGGCTCTGGGCTGGGGCGGGGGATTGGGGTGCAGGGCACAGGCTCTGGGAGGGAGTTTGGGTGCAGAAGGGGTGAGAGGTTGGGGTCTGGAAGGGAGTTTGGGTGGGGGAGGGGGTCTGGGGTGCAGGCTCTGGGATGGGGCAGGGGGTGGGGGTGCAGGAGCAGGGGGGAGGGGTGCAGGCTCTGGGAGGGGGTTGGGGGGTGCGGCGCTTACCTGGGGCTCCAAGGCGGGATGGGCCAGGGGGCCTCCATGCGCTGCTGCCCTCAGGCACCGTCCCTGCAGCTTCCCATTGGGTGCAGGGGCAGCATGCAGAGGCCCCACCCCGGGGCCACAGGGAGGGTCAGGCAGCCATGTGGAGCCGCTGCTGCTGATGGTGGGCGGGGCCCCGGGCCATTTTAAATCGCCAGGGGGACGCCCAGGGGGAGGGTAGCAGGCGGGACCACGGGAGAGACCCGCCTCCAAATTGCTGGAGCCCCGCGGTCCACAATGGGGAGGATCTTGGGTTGCAGACGGACCGTGGGCCGGGACTTTGAGACCCCTGATCTACAGGAACTCCTCCCTGACCGTCCCCGGTTAACGATGTGACGTGGCTGATCTCATAGAGAACAGGCTGGTTTAAAGCTGCGCAATGCTCCCTTATAACGCTGTTTGGCAGCCGCCTGCTTTGTCCACTGCTTGCAGGGAGAGCAGCCGGTGGAGCTGGTGGGGGCTCGGAGCCAGGGTGGGCCGGCAGCCCCCCCATCGGCTCCCCTAAGTTTCCTGGGTGGCAGCCACCCAGGACGCTACCAATTGCCGGCAGTTCAGGTGTCCCTCCCCGCCACTGCCTTGTTCTGCTCCTGCCCTCTGCCTTGCTTTCTGGGGGCGGGGAGAGCGTTGCTGATGTCAGGGTGTCCCCTCCTCCTGCTCCCGCTCCTGCCCCTGCTCCTGGCCCCCATCGCCACGCGGGGGGGGGGGGCACACACGACAGGGCTCAGGACGGAGGGAGCTTGCTGGCAGCGGCTGCTGTCTCAACTTACTGATCTACTTAAAAAGGCAATGTACTTAGAATGGAGTCAGTGTACTTAAAGGGGCAATGCGCGTCTCTCTCTCTCACACACACACACGGTGTCTCTCTCTCTTTCTCACACACACCCAGTGTGTGTGTGTCTGTCTCTCTCTCTCACACACACATGCACCACCTGGCACTTTGGAAAGTGGAGTGAGTGGTGCTCTCCAGTGGGATAGCCTGGGTTCATCATAACGTTCGGTTTCGGCAGGGAATGTTTGCAGTCACTGCCCTGCGTCTGTTGTGTTTCCTCCCTCCATCCCTTCTGCCTTGTAGAGTGTGAGATTACATTAAAAACAATGTGCTAACCCTTGAGGGCTCAGCCAAGTGCTAGTTCATCATTTAGCAGTAAAGGATTCCCTGGGAAATATCCCACCCTCTGGCTTCATCACCTCAACCAACCTTCACAATCATCTTTGTTGTGTACAGTATTCAATTGTTTGTTTAAAACTTACACTGTGTGTGTGTGTGTATATATATAGTCTTTTGTCTGGCAAAAAACAGTTCCCTGGAACCTAACCCCACCTATTTACATTAATTCTTATCGGGAAATTGGATTCGCTTAACATCGCTTTGCTTAAAGAAGCATTTTTCTGGAACATAACTACAACTTATGCCGAGGGAGGGATAGCTCAGTGGTTTGAGCATTGGCTTGCTAAACCCAGGGTTGTGAATTCAATCCTTGAGGGAGCCGTTTGGGATCTGGGGCAAAAATTGGGGATTGGTCCTGCTTTGAGCAGGGGGTTGGACTAGATGACCTCCTGAGGTCTCTTCCAACCCTGATATTCTATGATTCTATGAACTTTAAGCAAGAAGTTACTGTATCTATCTATTTATCTATCTATCCCCATACTCTCTCTCTCTCTCCTTCTCTCCATACCCCCCTCTATCTATCTCTGTACACCACAATGTAGCTATTTAAATATCAAGAGACACGCTTCTCCCTTTGTTCTTGCTTTTACACACGCACGCACACACACACTTATCTTTTGAATGTCAATGACTGTCAAAGTCATGCCATTATGGAGGAGGGTCTGTCTGCCCCATTGTCTGTCAGGAGCAGGTAATATATGCCATGGTTTATCTTTCATGGGTTATTTCCCAGCCATTCATTTCCGAATCATGGACACCTAACATGGCTGTCCGACTGGCAACTGTATGGCTGCCCAATAGCAGGCAAGCATGCCCATCCAATATGGGGTCACACACTTAGCAAAATGGCTAGTAAATATGGCCGGTCAACTAGCAACAACTTTGCAGCCCAACATGGCAGCCCAAATACTAACATGCCCATCCAAAATGGCTGCTCACACTCGACAAAATAAACATGGCTGCCCAACTGGCAACAACATGGCCACCCAACTTACTGCCCAACTTCTAAAATGGCCACCCATCATGGCTGTTCAGCTGCCAACAACATGGCAATCCAACATTCCTACCCAACTGAAAAGAGCCTGATTGCCCAAACATAGCTACCAACATGGCCACCAGTCTTAGTTGTCCAATAAAAACCAAGACCCAGAGGGTTCCAGGAGCATGGCTGCCCAACACAGTAACCCAATGGCTAGCAACCCCCCAAGGCAGTTTTCTGAGGAAGGAATTCCCAATTCCAGCTCCAACAACTTGTTCAAAGTCCTGGAGGGAGGGAAGATGCATCTGTTCCATTCTCCGAACCACATTTTCACATTCCTCCATCTCCTGCCCTGGCTGACCCCGACCCTTTGCTGCCCCGTTCAGACCCCCCTGCAGAGCCGACACTGAGTGTGGATCCCACGTCTGGAGTGGTGAGCGAAGGGCACCCCCTACTCATCACCTGTACAGCCCCTGGGGACGCCAGAGAGCTGAGGTTTCACTTCTACCAGGATGGAGCCAAGATCATCCCTGGGGACGCTGGGTCTGAGATCAGCACCGCGGAGACCAGGACTAGCTCAATGACAGTCTCTGTGCTCAGCATCCCGCGAGTTGACACCAACAGCACCGGGGAATACACCTGTCAGTACGAGGAGAAACAGAGTGAGAGGTGGATCCTGTCCACCAGGAGCCAGGCTGTGACTGTTACCTTGAAAGGTGAGGCTGCCCTAGAGAATTAAATCAACCCCTACATACAAACAACACTTCCTACAGCGCACACACACACCGCAACCAATAACTCAGTAAGGCAACAAAATATTTGGCTCTCAAACAGTGCCACCCAGCATGGCCGCCCCTTCCCCACCCTCTGCTGCCCCCTAGTGCCTATTATACAGTATAGCCGCCCCTCCCCCACCCCCACCCTCTGCTGCCCCCTAGTGCCCATGATACAGTATAGCCGCCCCTTCCCCACACCCACCCTCTGCTGCCCCTAGTGCCCATTATACAGTACAGCCGCCCCTTCCCCACCCCCACCCTCTGCTGCCCCCTAGTGCCCATTATACAGTATAGCCGCCCCTTCCCCACCCCCACCCTCTGCTGCCCCTAGTGCCCATTATACAGTACAGCCGCCCCTTCCCACCCCCACCCTCTGCTGCCCCCTAGTGCCCATTGTACAGTACAGCCGCCCCTTCCCACCCCCACCCTCTGCTGCCCCCTAGTGCCCATTGTACAGTACAGCCGCCCCTTCCCACCCCCACCCTCTGCTGCCCCCTAGTGCCCATTGTACAGTACAGCCCAGGGGTGGCTAAGCTGTGGCTCCGGAGCCACATGTAGCTCTTCAGAAGTTAACAGGCGGCTCCTTGTCTAGGCACCGACTCCGGGGCTGGAGCTACAGGAGCCAACTTCCCAATGTGTCGGGGGGGTGCTCACTGCTCAACCCCTGGCTCTGCCACAGCCCCTTCCCCCACTCCACCCCTTCCTGCCCCCTCCCCTGAGCCTGCCCTGCCTTCGCTCCTCTCCCCTCTCCTCCAGAGCCTCCTGCACACCAGGAAACAGCTGATGGCGAGGTGCGGCGAGGGAGGGGAGGCGCTGATCGGTGGGGCTGCTGGTGGGTGGGAGGAGCTGGGAGTGGGGGGAACGGGGAGCTGATGGGGGGTTGCTGACGTATTACTGTGGCTCTTTGGCAATGTACATTAGAAAATTCTGGCTCCTTCTTGGGCTCAGGTTGGCCACCCCTGGTATAGCCACTGCTTTTCCACACTCAGCACTGTGGTTCCCATGCTAACCTCTCCGTGTTGCTGCTCCCCGCAGATCCCCCTCCACGACCAGTGCTGAGCATGGATCCCCCATCAGGAGAGGTGAACGAAGGTTTCCCTCTGCTCATCACCTGCACAGCCCCTGGGGCTGCCAGCGAATGGAGGTTTCACTTCTACAAAGATGGAGCAAAGATTGTCCCTGGGGATGTGGGGTCTGAGATCAGCATCAAGGAGCCCGGCACCAGCTCTAGGAATGTCTCTGTGCTGAGCATCCCACGGGCTGGTCTCAACAGCGCCGGGGAATTCACCTGCGGGTATGAGGAGAATGTGAGCGGAAGGTGGGTCCCATCCCCAAGGAGCTGGCCTGTGAACATCACCGTGAAGGGTGAGGATGCCCTAGAGACTCAAATCCAATGCAAGATATATTCAGTGCTTCCTCAAATAGGGGGCAAAGGGACACACATGGGCACCTGTGCACACACTCAGCTGCCTTTTGAAGGAGAACGATTGTTGGGGTGACGCAGAGGTGAAATAAATGCCCCCTCAATGCAACTTGCATTCCTTATCCTGTCCCATAGAATCATAGAATCATAGAATATCAGGGTTGGAAGGGACCTCAGGAGGTCATCAAGTCCAACCCCCTGCTCAAAGCAGGACTAGTCCCCAACTAAATCATCCCAGCCAGGGCTCTGTCAAGCCTGACCTTAAAAACTTCTAAGGAAGGGGATTCCACCACCTCCCTAGGGAACCCATTCCAGGGCTTCACCACTCTCCTAGTGAAAAAGTTTTTCCTAATATCCAACCTAGACCTCCCCCACTGCAACTTGAGACCATTACTCCTTGTTCTGTCATCTGCCACCACTGAGGACAGTCTAGATCCATCCTCTTTGGAACCCCCTTTCAGGTAGTTGAAAGCAGCTATCAAATCCCCCCTCATTCTTCTCTTCTGCAGATTAAACAATCCCAGTTCCCTCAGCCTCTCCTCATAAGTCATGTGCTCCATCCCCTCATCATTTTTGTTGCCCTCTGCTGGACGCTTTCCAATTTTTCCACATCCCTCTTGTCGTGTGGGGCCCAAAACTGGACACAGAACTCCAGATGTGGCCTCACCAATGTTGAATAGAGGGGAACGATTATATCCTTCGATCTGCTGGCAATGCTCCTACTTATACAGCCCAAAATACCGTTAGCCTTCTTGGCAACAAGGGCACACTATTGACTCATATCCAGCTTCTTGTCCACTGTAACCCTAGGTCCTTTTCTGTAGAACTGCTGCCTAGCCACTTGGTCCCTAGTCTGTAGCGGTGCATGGGATTCTTCCGTCCTAAGTACAGGACTCTGCACTTGTCCTTGTTGAACCTCATCAGATTTCTTTTGGCCCAATTCTCTAATTTGTCTAGGGCTCTCTGTATCCTATCCCTACCCTCCAGCGTATCTACCTCTCCCCCCAGTTTAGTGTCATCTGCAAACTGCTGAGGGTGCAATGCAATCCACACCATCCTCCAGATCATTAATGAAGATATTGAACAAAACCGGCCCCAGGACCGACCCTTGGGGCACTCCACTTGATACCTGCAGCCAAATAGACATGGAGCCATTGATCACTACCCCTTGAGCCCGACAAGCTAGCCAACTTTCTATCCACCTTATTGTCCATTCATCCAGCCCATACCTCTTTAACTTGCTGGCAAGAATACTGTGGGAGACCATGTCAAAAGCTTTGCTAAAGTCAAGGAACAACATGTCCACTGCTTTCCCTTCATCCACAGAGCCAGTTATCTCGTCATAGAAGGCAATTAGATTAGTCAGGCATGACTTACCCTTGGTGAATCCATACTGACTGTTCCTGATCACTTTCCTCTCCTCTAAGTGCTTCAGAATGGATTCCTTGAGGACCTGCTCCATGATTTTTCCAGGGACTGAGGTGAGGCTGACCGGCCTGTAGTTCCCAGGATCCTCCTTCTTCCCTTTTTTAAAGATGGGCACTACATTAGCCTTTTTCCAGTCGTCCGGGACCTCCCCCGATCACCATGAGGTTTCAAAGATAATGGCCAATGGCTCTGCAATCACATCCGCCAACTCCTTTAGCACTCTCGGATGCAACTCGTCCGACCCCATGGACTAGTGCTCGTCCAGCTTTTCTAAATAGTCCCGAACCACCTCTTTCTCCACAGGGGGCTGGCCACCTCCTCCCTATGCTGTGCTGCCCAGTGCAGCGGTCTGGGAGCTGACCTTGTTTGTGAAGACAGAGGCAAAAAAGGATTGAGTGCAATAGTTTTTCCACATCCTCTGTCACTAGGTTGCCTCCCTCATTCAGTAAGGGGCCCACACTTTCCTTGACTTTCTTCTTGTGGCTAACATCCCTGAAGAAACCCTTCTTGCTACTCTCTTGATAGTCTTTTATAAAGTAGAGCCGCCGCTTCCCTGCCCACACTTTCTGCTGCCCCAGTTCCTATTATACAGTATAGCCGCCCCTACCCCACCCCCACCCTCTGCTGCCCCAGTGCCCATTATATAGAACAGACGCCCCTACCCCACCCCCACCCTCTGCTGCCCCCTGGTGCCCATTACACAGTACAGCCGCCCCTTCCCCCCCCCCCCCGCTGCTCCCTGGTGCCCATTACACAGTACAGCCGCCTCTTCCCCGCCCCCACCCTCTGCTGCCCGCTGGTGCCCATTACACAGTAGAGTGGACTTTTTACCAGTTTCCCCAATCTGGATCTCCTGCTGACCCATCCACTTTGTCCTCCCCTCAGATCCCCTTCCCTTGCCGGTGCTGAGCCTGGATCCCCCATCTGGGGTGGTGATCAAGGGGGTCCCCTTAGTCCTCACCTGCACAGCCCCTGGAGATGCCAGCGAGTGGAGATTTCACTTCTATAAAGATGGGGCTGAGATTGTCCCCGGAGACATGGGGTCTGAGATCAGCACGAAAGAGTCCAGCACGGATTCCATGATGCTCACTTTCCCACGGGCTGGTCCTGCGAGCTCCGGGAATTCACCTGCGGCTATGAGGAGAACGTGAGGGGGAGGTGGATCCCATCCCCCAGGAGTCAGGCTGTGAACGTCACCACGAAGGGTGAGGCTGCCACTAAACCTCCAAATGCCATTGAAGTTATACTGCAGAGTCCTGCAGTGGGGAGAACAGGGAAACACACACACCCAGCTGTCTTTTGAAGGACAACGGTTGTTGAAATGCTGTAGCAGTGTAATGAATGGCTGCCTGACTCAACTGCCATTCCTTATACTACCCTTAGTGCCCATTACACAGTATAGCCGCCCCTTCCGCGCCCCCACCCTCTGCTGCCCCCTACAGCCTATTATACAGTATAGCCGCCCCTTCCCCACCCCCACCCTCTGCTGCCCCCTACAGCCTATTATACAGTATAGCCGCCCCTTCCTCACCCCCACCCTCTGCTGCCTCCTACAGCCTATTATACAGTACATCCACCCCTTCCCCACCCCCACCCTCTGCTGCCCCCTAGTGCCCATTATACAGTACATCCACCCCTTCCCCACCCCCACCCTCTGCTGCCCCTTAGTGCCCATTATACAGTACAGCCGCCCCTTCCCCACCCCCACCCTCTGCAGCCCCCTAGTGCCTATTATACAGTACAGCCGCTCCTTCCCACCCCCACCCTCTGCTGCCCCCTAGTGCCCATTATACAGTATAGCCGCCCCTTCCCCACCCCACCCTCTGCTGCCCCCTAGTGCCCATTATACAGTACAGCCGCCCCTTCCCCACCCCACCCTCTGCTGCCCCTATTGCCCATTATACAGTAGAGTGGACTTTTTACCAGTTTCCCCAATCTGGATCTCCTGCTGACCCATCCACTTTGTCCTCCCCTCAGATCCCCTTCCCTTGCCGGTGCTGAGCCTGGATCCCCCATCTGGGGTGGTGATCAAGGGGGTCCCCTTAGTCCTCACCTGCACAGCCCCTGGAGATGCCAGCGAGTGGAGATTTCACTTCTATAAAGACGGGGCTGAGATTGTCCCCGGAGACATGGGGTCTGAGATCAGCATCAAAGAGTCCAGCACGGATTCCATGATGCTCACTTTCCCAAGGGCTGGTCCTGCGAGCTCCGGGGAATTCACCTGCGGCTATGAGGAGAACGTGAGGGGGAGGTGGATCCTGTCCCGCAGGAGTCAGGCTGTGAACGTCACCACGAAGGGTGAGGCTGCCACTAAACCTCCAAATGCCATTGACGTTATACTGCAGAGTCCTGCAGTGGGGAGAACAGGGAAACACACACACCCAGCTGTCTTTTGAAGGACAACGGTTGTTGAAATGCTGCAGCAGTGTAATGAATGGCTGCCTGACTCAACTGCCATTCCTTATACTACCCTTAGTGCCCATTACACAGTATAGCCGCCCCTTCCGCGCCCCCACCCTCTGCTACCCCCTAGTGCCCATTATACAGTACAGCCGCCCCTTCCCCACCCCACCCTCTGCTGCCCCTTAGTGCCCATTATACAGTAGAGTGGACTTTTTACCAGTTTCCCCAATCTGGATCTCCTGCTGACCCATCCACTTTGTCCTCCCCTCAGATCCCCTACCCTTGCCGGTGCTGAGCCTGGATCCCCCATCTGGGGTGGTGATCAAGGGGGTCCCCTTAGTCCTCACCTGCACAGCCCCTGGAGATGCCAGCGAGTGGAGATTTCACTTCTACAAGGACGGGGCTGAGATTATCCACGGGGAAATGGGGTCTGAGATCAGCACCAAAGAGTCCAGCACGGATTCTATGATGCTCACTTTCCCAAGGGCTGGTCCTGCAAGCTCCGGGGAATTCACCTGCGGCTATGAGGAGAACTTGAGGGGGAGGTGGATCCCGTCCCCCAGGAGTCGGGCTGTGAACGTCACCATGAAGGGTGAGGCTGCCATTAAACCTCCAAATGCCATCGAAGTTATACTGCAGAGTCCTGCAGTGGGGAGAACAGGGAAACACACACACCCAGCTGTCTTTTGAAGGACAACGGTTGTTGAAATGATGCAGCTGTGTAATGAATGGCTGCCTGACTCAACTGCCATTCCTTATACTACCCTTAGTGCCCATTACACAGTATAGCCGCCCCTTCCCCACCCCCACCCTCTGCTGCCCCCTAGTGCCTATTATACAGTACACCCCCCTTCCCCACCCCCACCCTCTCTCCCCCTGTTCCATTTACAGTCCCATTTCCCCAATCTGATATCCTCTGCCCATCCACTTTTCCTCCCCTCAATCCCCTACCCCCTCTGCCCCCCCATCTGTACCCCCCCCCCTCCCCCCTGTCCCGGAGATTTCACTTCTACCGGCTGAGTTATCGGAAGGGGTGAGACACCCAGTCCACCGGTTCTATGATCTCACTTTCCCAAGGGCTTCCTCAACTCCGATTCACCTGCTGAGGAGAACTTGAGGGGAGGTGATCCCGCCCCCAGAGTGGGCTGTGACGTCACCATGAGGGGAGGCTCCATTAAACCTCCAATCCATCATTTCTCAGAGTCCTCAGTGGGGAGCGACACACACACCCACTGTCTTTTGAGACACGGTTGTTGATGATGCGTGTGTAATCTCCTGACTCAACTCCATTCCTTATACTACCCTTAGTGCCCATTACACGATCCCCCTTCCCCACCCCCACCCTCTGCTGCCCCCTAGTGCCTATTATACAGTATAGCCGCCCCTTCCGCGCCCCCAACCTCTGCTGCCCCCTAGTGCCCATTATACAGTATAGCTGCCCCTTCCCCGCCCCCACCCTCTGCTGCCCCCTAGTGCCCATTATACAGTATAGCCGCCCCTTCCCACCCCCACCCTCTGCTGCCCCCTAGTGCCCATTATTCAGTATAGCCGCCCCTCTCCTGCCCCATCCTCTGCTGCCTCTGATGTTCAATATACAATGTAGGTACCAGGAGAACATGAATGGGAGATGGTCCCATCCCCAGAAACTGGCCTGTGAACGTCACTGTGAAGGGTGAGGCCCCCAAATGCGCCTGACAACCCCCCCAAAATGAAGCCACCTCAGTATCATACCAGCAGGCCCCTGCTACCTTCAAGGAGAGACCTTGGTTGCAAACTTTAAAGGGGACAGTAAGGAGACCCATTCCCCCCTGTTGCAGTATCGCTGATTGACACACAGGTGGCAGCATTTCACCATGGCTGGTACCAAAAGCATCTGGCAGGCAGAAAATCTTCCCTTATAGGGGAGGGCACCCATAGTTCCCTGCCCTGTCTGGGGTATAGTGGAGGTAGTAGGTGCCTATTCCCTGTTCTCCTGTCCATACGATTGCTGGCGATTAACACCTCTCCTTTCCCCTTCTCGTAGCTACCTGGTCTCTGCCCATCGCCCTGGCGGCTGGGTGCGTTGGTGCCGCGGTGGGTCTGGTTCTGCTGCTGCTTCTCATCTGTTTCTACAAGAGGAAGAAGAAAGGTGCGTAGGGAGAGAGATGGGGATGAGAAATGGGACCCAGGCACCGTGTCGGAAGCACAGGGCGCTCACCCCTACCTGGCGCCGCAGCTCTCAGTCCCTCTCCTTCCTCCCCCCTCCACCTGCAAGATTAATTTAGGATCACAAGACCCTATTGCAAAGGACTCTGTGTAATTGGCTAGAGCAGGACTTCCTTTCACGGGCTCATCGGTGATTTGGTAATACAGGACTTCAGTGCAAAGGACGGTGGGTAATTTGGGGTAAAGGAGTGTGGGGAGTTTACAGGAGGGAGACTCTGCTGCAATAGATCATGGGTAATTGGGTAGTTATAAGGTGCAAAGAATTGTGTTTCAGGGGAGAGAGGCCAGGATGGGGATTGGGACCAAGGCATCCAGGATGACCGTGCACACAGCTCACCCACAGGGGGCCTCGCAGAGGAGAGCTCAGGGTGAGGAATGGTGGGCATTCAAGCAATACTGACAGGAGGTCACACGACTGGTGCTGAAATGCAGCCAACTCTGGGGTGGGGTATCTGGGCCTACAGGTGCAATGAGACGTCACCCAGCAATCACTCGCTCTAGGCTGAGATGCAGCCAGCTCTAGGATGGAACACAGCAGCTTGAAGTCAGCTGCACAAATGAGTGGAAGGGCAAAAGCGGATGCTAGATCTCATGGAAGCAGCTGGGGTAGAGGAATTTAGGACAACAGAATCAGGTCAGCAGGTCTGGGGATATACTGGAGTTTATGGCCAGAGTCCTGGGCAAATTACATGGGGGGGGGCAGGGGAAGGAGTGATTATAAGTGATTATAACTCAAAGCATAACAAGTCAGCTTTGGGCAAAAGAAATAAAAGCAAAATGCATTCTAAGCTGATCTTAACACTTTCAGTGCCCTTACAACCTCAGATGCTTCTCACCACAGGCTGGCTGGTTTCCCTTCAGCCGGGTTCTCCCATGCTTCAGTCGCATGGCGGTGGTCGTATCTGTAGATGTAGGTGGAAGAGAGAGGAAGAGCATGGCAAACGTCTCTCCCTTTTAGCATGTTCTTTCTTCCATCTTGGCTTTGCCCCCCCCCTTCAGAGTCAGGTGAGCATTACCTCATTGCAGTCCCAAACTGACCAAAGGAAGGGGGGTGACTCACTCAAACAGATCCTTTTGTTGCTGCCTAGGCCAGCATCCTTTGTTCCTGTGAGGTAGGGCTGGGTTTGCCCCCTACATGCCTCGATGAGGTGTGAACTGGCCCTCTGCTCTTAGAGAGTTTTTGCCTGGGCTTGCTTTAAGCCATGAGGATACATTTTCAGCATCATAACTATATACATGAAATTATAACCTATAACATTACTAATACAATTACTACAACATTACTATAATAACCAAGCTCAGTACATCATGAGCCTTCTGAAGACACCCGACATGACAAACTTTGCACTGGATACCACACAATCATTTTATAAGGATGAACATGGGGGTGTAGGGTGTTCCCATGTGGTACCGAACGTCACGCTCTCTCACAGGTTTCAGAGTAGCAGCCGTGTCAGTCTGTATTCACAAAAAGAAAAGGAGGACTTGTGGCACCTTAGAGACTAACAGATTTATTTGAGCATAAGGTTTCGTGAGCTACAGCTCTCACACTGTGACATGCTGTCAAGCCACAAACCTCTGACAGGCACGGCACTTACACAGCCATCCACAGGCAGGGACACGCCCAACTGAGGTACATGAATGATCTCCCAGGCACCCATGAAACATTAAAAGAGAGGCTCCAGCCAATTCCCCCAGCTCCTCCTCCCCCAGCAGTATCATCTTGCACTGGTCAGAAGCCTGGCCAAGGTAAGCTCATTACCTCGTTCCCCACTTCGTCAACAGAAATGGACGTGCACCCATCTTTGTAACCTGAGCTGAGATTCCCCAGGCACTTGAACCAAAACACACTGTTTTAGGTAAAATATAGAACAGATGATTAACTACAGAAAAACGGTTTCGAAGTGATTATAAGGAGCAAGTGCAGATATCAAAGTTGGTTCCTTAAGAAATAAAAATAAATTCACAGTCTAAGTTCTACAGACTAAACAGGATTTGAATCAAGCAGTGTCTCACTCTGAAGATGGTACAAGCAGGTTATAGATCCTCAGTACACAGGCTAGGACTCTTCTCCAGCCTGGGACCTGCCTCCCACAGTTCAAGGTCTTTGTCCTCCAAACGTGTTTTGGAAGTGAGGCCAAGAGATGATGTTACTTTCCCTCTTTTATACTTTCTTGCTAAGAGCAGGTGGTCCCCATTGGTCAAGCAGTCTCCATTGTATACAGTCTATGGAAAGTGGATTCTTTCCTTGATGGGTGTTGTTGAGCCATTAATACTGCCTGGCTACTCCACTGTTGTACCTGAAAGGCTGGTTGTGGGTGTTCCCAACCTCACAACATATCTCAGTCACACACACAGCAATACTCCGTAATTTCCCATACAATGACAGCATACGCAATCCAACAGGACATTAATGTTCAACCGATGAAGACTTTTAAAATAATACCTCACAAAGTACACTTTGTAGCAAACATATCATAATTGTATGAGAGTGGTGAATACGGTGCTACTTTGAGGTACAGAGCATCACCCCATCCCTCTTAGTTCACTGCAGGAGTTTTAGTCACTGACTAATGCGGTGGCAGTGGACCCAAGGTCCTCTTTAGGCTTTGACCATACAACTCCTAAGTGTTGCTAAGCATTGTCATGTTACCCCCATGAGCTCTTGTAAAGTTCTGTGTATCTTTTAACCCTTTGTGGATCAGTCTGGTCATTTCAGAAGATAGCCAGTGTGTCTCCTCTGGGATGCTAGAAAGCATCTCTTTGTATCTGTTCAGTATTGTTAAACCATCTTCTTTTCCAACTGATATTAACTCAATGCAGATATTAATGTTTTCTAGAGTGTAGGTAACTTGGCATTTAGCCAGCAATGCCATGAGGTAGTGTGCCTCGGTTTCCCCTTCCATGCAGCAGACCAGGTTTATTATGGTTTCTATGCTGTGACACACCCCCTACTGGGCCCTGGCCCTGCTCCCTGCAGCACAGTGCCATCTTGGGGCATTGGGCTCAACACTGCCCTACCTCTCTCTCTGCCTCACAGCGCCCCCTACCACCGCACTCTGGCACTGTGGTCAGCACTGACTATCAGGGGGAAGCCCCCTCACCCCACTTCCTGCAGCACAGCGCCCTCTAGCACCACACTGTGATACTGTGGTCAGCACTGACTATTAGGGGAGAGCCCCCCGTGCCCCGCTCCCTGCATCACAGCACCCCCTAGTGTTATGCTGGTGCATTGGAGTCAGTGCTGATTAAGATGCAAGAACAGCCCCTACTGAGCCGCCGCTCCCTGCAGCACAGCACCCCCTAGCAATGCATGGGGGCATTGCAGACAGCACTTTTCCCCAGGGGAGTGTGCCCCCTATTGAGCTACCCACAATGCCCCCTCCTGGCTTCCTTGCTTTGCTATCCCTTGTTGCTGTCCCATCTAAGTGCACCCCACCCTTTCCCATTCTGAGCCAGAACCCTAACGTGGAATAGAAACACATTATGAAATGCCCCAAGTACGTTAGCAATGTCACTGATTTGCTTTTCTCATTGGTAGGTTTCAAGTGGGAGCGAAGGAGGAGAACCGAGAACGATGGTTCCATCAGCAGTTACTCACCTATACCTTTGGCAATGATCAACCCAGACACTCTTTAACCTCCAGGGGAAATTACACTGTCCTACCTCAGTGCATGGGGCTGGACTTCAAGCTCCTTGCCTCTGTGTCCCCTCAGCTCCTTGCCTCTGTGTTCCCTGAAACATCATAGGGCCAATGAAGATCTGTGAAGCTTACCACACTCACTGTGCATATTCTCCCAAGGTCTCCTTCATACTGGCAGGCACACACCAAGTCTCCAGCCGAAAACATCCCTGGCAAAATGAGATGTGATTGTGTCTCTTTGCCTGCTGCAGAGAGACTGGGACTGTTCAAAAGGAAGGAAGAAGTTTCTATTCTCCCAACTTCTCAGCAAATCTCCCCTTTACCAGGAACGTTCAAGCTGATGTAAATCTCTGTAAATTTCCCATCTCCTGTTTGTCATTAAACCTCCCTTTAACCTCCTATGGTCTTTCTGCCGCCCCCTCCCCCATGATTCTATAAAATGAGACATGTCAGGCTGGAAGGGACCTGGAGGGGTCATGAAGTCCAGCCCCATGCACTGAGGTAGGACGATGTAGACCAGTGCTACTCAAAGCAGTGGTCCGCGGATTGGTGCCGGTCTGTGAGCCATCAGCTGCCAGTCTGCGTGCACACTGGGGAAAAAAATTGCCGGTCCCCCACGTCAGATTGCTTGAGAAGCACTGATGTAGACCATCTCCAACAGGTGTTTGTCCCACCTGGTCTCCAAAGCCTCCAGAGATGGGGCTTCCACAACCTCCTTTGGAAGCCGATTACAGAGCTTAACTCCCCTTACAGTTAGAAACTTTTCCCTAAGATGAGGAATAATTGATCCCCGCCCTCTTTGTAACAGCCCTTCACATATTGGAAGACTGTTATCAGGTGCCCGCAGTCTTCTTTTCTCAAGACTAAAAAAGCCCGTTTTAAAAAAAAACCCTTTCCTCATAGGTTAGGTTTTCGAAACCTTTGATCATTTTTGTTGCTCTCCTCTGGACTCTCTCGAATTTGTCCACATCTTTCCTAAAATCCCAGAATTGGACGCAGTTCTCCAGCTGACATCTCCCCAATGCTGAGTAGAGTAGGAGAATGACCTTCCATGGTTTACATATAAGACTCCTGTTAATACACCCCAGAATGATATTAGCCTTTTTCACAGCTGCATCGTGTTGGGGACTCATCTGCAATTTGTGATCCACCCTAACCCTGGATCCTTGTCAGCAGTACGACCCTCCTAGCCAGTTAGTCCCCAGTTTGCAGCTGTGCCTTTGATTTTTCCTTCCTAAGTGAAATTATTTGCACTTCAAGTATCAGAGGGGTAGCCATGTTAGTCTGTATCCACAAAAACTTTTCACTTGTCTCTATTTAATTTCTTCCTGTTGATTTCAGGCCAGTTCCCCAACTTGTCAAGGTTGTTTTGAATTCTAATCCTGTCCTCCAAAGCGCTTGCCACCCCTCCCAGTTTGGTGTCCTCCTCTAAGCCTGTTTTCCACTCTCCATTCTCCAAGTAATTCATGAAAATATTGACTAGTACCAGACCATAATTGAGCCCTGTGGGACACCATTAGGTACACCCTCTTGCTTTAATGGCAAACCATTGCTAACTACTCTTTGAGGATGGTCTTTCAACCCGTTGTGCACCCAGCTTATAATAATTTCACCTAGACCACATTTCCCTAGTTTGCTTATGAGAATGTTATGTGGGACTGTTGAACACCGGACTAAAATCAAGATACATCACGTCTATTGCTTCCTCCCATCCACGAAGCTAGTAACCCTGCCAAAGAAGGAAATGAGGTTGCTTTGGCATGATTTGCTCTTGACAAATCCATGCTGGCTCTTTCTAATGATCTTCTTATCTTCTAGGTGCTCACAGATTGATTGCTTAATAATTTGTTCCAGCATCTTTCCAGGTATTGAAGTTAGACTGACTGGTTCATAATAAATAAGGTCTTCCTTCTTCCCCTTTTTAAAGATGGCTACCATGTTTGCCCTTCCCCAGGTCTCTGGAATATCACCCATGCTCCATGACTTCTCTAAGATAATCACTGATGGTTCTGAGATTGTTTCAGCTAATTCCTTAAGTACCCTAGGATGATTTCATCAGGCACTGCCAACTTGGATACACCTAATGTCTCTAAATATTTTATAACTTGTTCTTTCTCTATTACCTTTGCTGTGGTTATTCCGTCCCCAGTGTGGTGTGTGTCATTGGCCCTGTACTCCTGACCCAGAAGGGAGATTCTCCTTAGAACTCCTGTCCCTGCTGAGTTAGGCTGTGGCCGGCTGTGTGCACCCACCATTAGCCACACTATCAGGGAGAAGCCACTTTGCCCTGAATCCATGAGGCTGAGGGCTCAGAGTGGCAGCCCCCAGTGAGCTGAATTCAGTTCCTCCAGCTCTGGTCCCTGTTGTCTCATTAGGTCCGTGACACTCAGGGCCCCAATCCTGGCCCCTGACCCTCCCTGTAGACATGGCCCAGCCACTCCTTCTCCAACCTCCTTGTCCGTAAATCATCATTCACTCCCATCCCCTGCTCCACCTCTGCTCCATGCAGGGCAGGGACATATTGATCTTTCTGGGGAGATTGTCCTGCCACAGCCCATCTTCTCCATTTGCAGCTCTGAGAGGTGTCAAAGTCAGATTCAGGACTCACATAATTTGTCAGACCACTCTGTTTATTGGCAAAGCGCTTTGCCTGTGCACCCAGATATGGGAGCCTCTCTCTGAGGCTCAAGATAACTTATTTATACAGCTAAGCCAAAGCCAATTTAACATAAGAGACAAAAGGAAGTAGAAACTGACAAATATACATACATATCTTATTTGCATACTAACGTTTACCAATCTCCTAGCTCAGTAGGAGCTCTAAGTTAATTAGTTTGAGGACCCATTGTCTCACACTCCTTAATGTTTCTCTTCCTGATGACTATATTTCAACAAACCCTTCAAGTAGCATTTCTTTAATGAATTATAATTTCAATATAATTCATTCTACTTTCACAATCCCTCCTTTTGGTCAAGCTACGCAATGACCAACAATGACTGGGTTCCACATATCAATCGTTCTTTATCTCTTTGTTCATCAGTGATATTTAAAATCATCAAATTAGCACTCTGGTTTGGGGCAGCTATCTGTGTAGCATGCCTGACACAATTTTGGATATAACAGGAAAGTAACTGAAAACATACAAAAATTATTAGGATTCCAAACAGGAGAGTTAGGGCTCCCTGAAACAACCAGTTTCCTATGCCAGAGAAATTGAAAAGGTTACTTAGCCACTTCCATAAAGAACTTGGCTCTTCGTGGGTAAGATATGCGATTTGTTCTAAGTGGCTAGCACCATCTATTACCTCACTGGTGTTGTCTGGTATGTACACACAGCAGTCTTTTCCAATGAGAGCACAAGTCCCTCCTTTTGCCACCAGCACTATGTCCAATGCCTGTCGGTTTTGGAGGGCCATCTGTCGGATTGCCCCTGTTTCTTTGGCCAGGGTTCTTAAACTTTCTCCGGTTTCATTTGCCATTATTTCAACTACTGCTTGTAACCTTAGGAGCCTTTTTGCATGGTGTATTACTCCCCCTAATGGTATGAAGGAACCACCAATGGCCTCTTCCCAGGTTAAGGGGCTTATGTTATTTACATACCATTGGGCATCTGTTAAGTCCCTTCTTTTTCGCCTGAAATTGTGGAGACATTCTCGAGGGAAGGTTCCTAGCACTCAGAATTGTGGGAAGAGTCGGGCGGGATAACAGATTCCTGACCAATTAGCTGGTAGTGCGGTATAAGCTCTGGTCCCACACACCCAGTGATGGCCTATTAAGGCCGGGAAGTGTCGGTTGCACCCATTTGTCATATAGGTGTTTGCAAAGGAGGAGGAGTATCCCCCAAAGGGTACAGGGTAATTCTCCTTACGAGGAGTGGTGTTATTTGCATGACTGTAGGGGGAACATGAGATTGATTTCTCTGTTTGATCCCAGGTTGAGAAAAAATTCATATCTCCATACCTGGCCCGCCACTTTTTAGTTTTGTTTGAATAATCCCATACACCATTGGCCACCATATGCTGAAGGCAATGGCTTTTCCCCAGATCCAGCCCTGTCCCATTACACACCCAACACCAATGACCTTTTCCTTCCACCACACTTATCCATTTAGATGCATTTATTCCCACCGCTTCCCAAGTGTCATTGCTGTTCCATATTTTGTTAAACGGACGAGGCCCTCCAGTGCGGTCTGGGGACTTGAGTGGGATAGCCAGGACAGGAACACCAGCTTGAGAGTGGGCTGGGATGTGCTGCAGACCCAGCAATTAGAAATATTAAGGGTCTGAGCTATCCATACCTGCTGCGGGATAAAAGAATTGTCATCATGGTCTCCCCAGACCGTAAGATACCAGCAGCCGAGGAACAGTGTCTGCTTCTGGCAACCGTTACAAGAGCGTAGATTGTAAGGTATTGCAGACTGTTCCTCTACATCTTCTTCTGGAGCCAAAATTGACTCTGCGTCGTCCTGAGGTGATGATTGGTTCTCTGGGGATGGTGCCTTCTTACACTGTGAAGCATGTATCCACACTGCGATGCCAGATAGTTTAACAGCTGTCTGTGTAGTAAGCAGTACCTGATGAGGACCCTTCCACCGGGGCTCCAAGGCGTGCTTTCGAGGATGGCGCCGTATGTAGACCCAATCACCTGGCTCGAGGTTGTGGCAAGCGTCGGAGGTGGGTTCCGTGGGCCAGGCGGCTCGAACCTGTGAATGGAAGTGACATACAGCTTGCATTAGTCCCTTGCAATACTGAAGGAGCGCACTGTGAGTCAAGTTCAAATCTGGAACGGGAGTAATGGTCGTCATAGCTCGCATAGGGCGTCCCATAACAATTTCAAAGGGACTTAATTTATGCCTTTGGGATGGAGTGGATCTCATGTCCACAAGGGCTAATGGTAAGGCTACTGGCCAGCTTAATCCTGTAGAGTTACAAATTTTAGCAAGCTTATTCTTAAGTACACCATTTCGTCTTTCAACTGCTCCTGCGCTCTGTGGGTGGGAGGGACAGTGCAGCAGGTGTTTGATATGCAATATACGGTCCAGGTGTTGGACAAGGTGTCCAGTAAAATGTGTACCCCGATCCCTGGACAGAGAAGCAGGAATTCCCTTGGCAGGCATAATATGAGTTAACAAACATTTGGCAACAGACAGTGAGTCAGCCTTGCGACAAGGAAAGGCTTCAATCCAACCAGAGAATAAACATACCTTAACAATATAAATTCATATAGTTGACACTTAGGCATTTGTACAAAATCAAGTTGCCAATGCAAGAACGGTGCTTGAGGCAGACCTCAGAACCCCTGGGCCACTTTTACAGGTTTACCAATATTATGGCTTTGGCAAATGGTACAGGCTGCACAGTGGCGGGCTGCAAAAGAGCTAAAATGGGGGGCCCACCATCCTGTCTTTGTTACAGCAGAGACCATCCCCTCCTTTCTGACATGCGAAACGCCATGTAGCAAGGCGGCCAGAGATGGGTAGAGTGAAAAGGGGGCTACAAAGGCGCCAGTAGGCGAGCGCCAAAAGGAATCGGGATGTAGAGAGCAACCTTGGGCGACCCAGGATTCTTTCTCGGTTTCTGGGGCCAAGTCTTGGAGCAGGGTGAGGTCAGTGAGGGACCAGGAGGGTAAGAGGAGAGCGGAGAACAAGGGACTCAGACATTTCGACTAGGCGCCCTGCAGCAGCCACAGCACGCAGGCAGCGGGGTAAGCCTTGGGCAACAGGGTCTAAAGTGGCGGAGAAATAAGCACTGGGTGGTTCTTTTCTCCGTGCATCTGAGTGAGAACTCCAAGTGCACACCCAGATGGTTCGTGGCAGAAAAGGGTAAAAGGCTTAGAATAGTCAGGCAGCCCTAAGGCAGGGGCAGAAGCCAACCCTGTTTGAGGGAAACAAAGGCAGAATTGGCCTCAGGGGGCCACGGCATGGGGTCAGGCGCAGAGAATCGAGTGAGTTCCTGGAGAGGTTTTGCAAGGGAGGCATATTGGGGAATCCATTGTCTGCAAAATCCAGCCATGCCGAAAAACTTCCAGACCTGGTGTGGGGAGCGGGCTCGGGGAAAGCTAAGGATAGCTTGGACATGGGTGGGAGAAAATGCACGCGAACCCTGGGAGAGGAGAAAGCCGAGCTATGTGACAGAAGCTTGACAAAGTTGTAGTTTAGAGCGAGAAGCTTTGTGATCCTTATTTGCTAGGGCAGTAAGGAGCACTAAAGAGTCAGTTTCAGAGGCAGACAATGAAGGGGAACAGAGGAGTAGATCATCTACATATTGGACTAGTGTGGACCTGGATGGGAAAACAAGATCAGCAAGGTCTCGGGCTAATGCTTGGGAAAAATATGATGGGCTTTCAGTATACCCTTGGGGCAGTGTGGTCCATGTGTACTGTTGCCCCTTGTAAGAAAAGGCAAACAGGAACTGGCAGTCAGGGTGAACCGGGACAGAAAAGAAAGCAGAGCACAAATCAACAACGGTAAAATGAGTTGCAGCTGGTGGGATAGAAGCCAGAATCTTTGAGAGGGGCAAGTTTTGATTCTGTCCACCTATGATTTGCCTCTTCCCACCACTGCATGAAACAATCAACCTCTTCTTTTGCCAATTTAGTTTTAGGTTGGCCGAGTTTGTCTTTTAAGACGTCTACTCGGTCTTTGTCCCAAGATCCTAACAGTGGCCACTGAATTTTGGGATTCTCCTGAGTTAGCCTAGACCATTTTTCCAGAAATTTACAGGAGTCCGGACCCTTCCTAAAATACATAAACTGAGCCGGCGTTCCTTTAGGGAACTGTCCCGACTTAGACGTCTGGTTACCCATACAGGAGGACTTTACACACCAATCACACAAGAAGGAAAGTCGAGTTCGTCAGAGCGATGCCCGGTGCAACACTCAAAAGGAGCCCACAGGCTACTGGCTCAATCGCCCTTGCTTTCACACCAAGGGTTTTACCCAAGGTGCGGTGCGGCTGTGATTGTGCAGATTTCACTCACTCAGACCGTGGGGACAGGAACCCTTTGGTCAGCCGATCCCCGGACGGAGACGGCGCCCAGACTCAAACACACCACAGGGAGGACGGATAGACACAGAGACAAGACAGTCCTCAGTCCGGACAAAACACAGAAATAATTACCTGACCAGATTCCTGATGTCAGATCCCGGGATCCCTACCAGAACAGAGCGGGAACCAACAGGTTCGATGGCGTAGACTTCACTGTGGTCATGCACCCTTCCGTTCTGGCGGAGGAACGCTCGGGTCAAATACCCAGGTGCCGGCTTGCCACGGCTGTCCTAAGAATGGTCAGGAGTCACACGGCCCCAGTGAAGACGGTTGCCATCTCGGTGGGACCTCCAAATTGTCAAAGTCAGATTCAGGACTCACATAATTTGTCAGACCACTCTGTTTATTAGCAAAGCGCTTTGCCAATGCACCCAGATGTGAGCCCCTCTCTGAGGCTAAAGATAACTTATTTATACAGCTAAGCCAAAGCCAATTTAACATAAGAGAGAAAAGGAAGCAGAAACTGACAAATATACATACATGTCTCATTTGCATACTAACATTTATCAATCTCCTAGCTCAGTAGGATCTCTAAGTTAATTAGTTTGAGGACCCATTGTCTCACATGCCTTAATGTTTCTCTTCCTGACAACTATATTTCAACAAACCCTTCAAGTAGCATTTCTTTAATGAATTATAATTTCAATATAATTCACTCTACTTTCACAGAGGGGAGTGGGATCTAGCGGCTAGAGCAGGAGGGGCTGGGCACCAGGACTCCCGGGCTCTATCCTCAGCTCTGAGCAGGCAGTGGGGTCTAGTTGTTGGAGCAGGGGGGCGTGGCGGGGGCTGGATATCAGGACTCCTGGGTTCTCTCCACAGCTCTGAGAGGACAGTGGGATCTAGTAATTTGAGCTGGTGGGGGGTGGCTGTTTAGGAGCCATGACTCCTACGTTCTCACTACAGCTCTGAGCAGGGAGTGGGATCTAGTGATTGGAGCACAGGGGAGTTGGGAGCCAGGATTCCTGTGTTTTTTCCCCAGCTCTGAGCAGGGAGTGTGATCTAGTGGTTGAAGCAGGGGGGTGCTGGGAGCCAGAACTCCTAGGGTCTCACCCCAGCTTTGGGAGAGCAGTGGGGTCCAGTGTTTGGAGTGGGAGGGGCTGGGTATCAGGACTCCTGGGTTCTCTCCCCACATGGAGGGACTCCTGGGTTCCCCTCCCAGTTCCAAGAAGGGGCATGATTCCTATCAGTTGGGAAGACATGCGATCAACATTTTCATAGTTGACTAGGGACTGTGGGTGCTTGAGATCCAGAAAGGCCGTGATCCTCCGAGGGCAATTTCCCAGCAAGCCAGACAGAATCTCTAGGCACTCTTGAAATTCCTGGCCTCTGGTCTTTATCATGAGATTACTAGCACTACCATCCCAGGGCCCACAGCCAGTTGCTGCCGGTAAGAGCCTCAATCCAAAGCTGAGATGACCAAAGGGATTTGGACACCTAATTCCCATCCTTGTTCATGGGCATTCAAACCCCTTAGGCCTCGGCATAAGCAGGCAAGTTTGAGCTGCTTAGAAAATCAGGGTGAAAAATTTCAGTGCAAATGGAGGAAACTAATTAATTTTCTTATACGCTGGCCACCACAAAGATCTGATTCTCAGTGGAGACTGTATAAAGGCTGGTGCATCACCCACCTTGCCTGCACTGTGCCTCAGTTTCCCCACACAGCTGGAGAAGGTTTTTTGGGTGGGTAAAGCCACTTTGAGCTGAGCTGGTCCAGGGCTGTGTTGCTTTTGCAAGACACTGGAGGGGAAATCCAGGGAGGAGGGCCTCAGTTTGTGGTCAGCAACTGCTGTCACATTTCCTAAGAGCCCCGCATGTGACCATCACTGGGATGCCACAACACCTCCCACATCACGGAGGAAGCAGTGGCTGAGTGTCACGTCCATGGCAGGGTTCGGCTATCTCACAGTAAGGGAGCCAGTCTCCTCCCTGGGCAGAGACAGGGCTGGTGGCTCAGAACCCAGCTCTAAGCCCCAGGCAGATCAGCTCACTCAGCATGGAGCTAACTCTCCTTCTGCCGCTGCTGGGTAAGTAGCCTCCCGGGGCCCACTTCCTCTCTTGGGCTATCTCCTTGGGCTGTCCTTGGGCTGTCCTTCCTCTTCTTGGGCTGTCTTGCTTGCTTTCCTGCTTCTCCTCTAGCTCTTTCCTTGCTTCTTGCTCGCCATCCTTCTTTCCATCTTTTACTTTCTATCGCTTTTCTTTCTTGCTTGCTTTTCTCTTTCTTTGGCTTTTCTCTGTTTCTTGCTTTTTCTTTCTATCTCTTTAATTTCTTTCTCTTGCTATGGCTTTTCTTTCTAGCTTGCTTTTCTGATTCCCCTTTTCTATATTGCTTGCTTGCTCGCTTTCCTGTTTTTTCTTCCTATCTTGTTTATTCTCTTCAATTGCTTTTCTTGCTTGCTTGCTTTCTCTCTTTTCTTTCTCGCTTCCCTGCAATCTCTCTCTTTTCTTGCTTGCTTTCCTGCTTTTTCTTTCTTTCTTTCTTTCTTTCTTGACTGCTGTCTTGCTTCCTTGCTCTTTTCTTGCGTGTTTGTTTTCTTGCATTCGCTTTCTGTCTCTTTTCTGTCTTGCTTGCATTCCATCCTCCTGTTTACTCTCTCTCTTACTTTTCTTTCTTGCTTGCTTGTTTTTCTGCTTTCTTGTTCTAGCTCTTTTCTAGATTTCTTTCTTGCTTGCTTGCTTTTTCTTTCTGTCTCTTTTCTTGCTTGCTTGCTTTTTCTTGCTTTCTTTCTCATCTGAGCTGTACTACCCTGTGACACTATGACCCCATATTCTTCATAGAGATATTGTTATGATATGATTATGGCCTAACTATGAGGTATTTTATACAAGAGAGGTCATGTGAGCTATCATTGAAAAGATCATGGTTTACTGAATATGATTTTCCTATTTGTATGCATTATCATTTTTATAACTGAAGTTATGAATATTGTCTATGCATCTATTACAAATGTGTTTACACTTGGGGAACATCCACTAGGCAGAATGCAGTTAGTCTAGATGTCTTGCTGGGAAGGGCCATTAGAGAAAACAATAGGTCTTAGAAGATGCTGATCACCCACTGAGAAGCCTTCCTGGAAATGCTGCAAACAACCTCTGAGTTATGGCTGCAGGGTCATGTAACCAAGTCACCTGGTACTGGACTCCAGGATAATACTTGTGTTTTCCACTGACTGGGGGTGGGGATCAAATGGGGGACAAAGGATTCCCGCCACATGCAAAAAACTGTTTAGGGCAGGGGAGTGACATCATCATGGTTCATTCTTCACTGCCTCCCTGCCCAAGAAAGAAGACTGCTGAACACACCTGAGAAACAAAAAGACTGAATTAGGGGAGAAGGGCTGATGACCCCAGGTTAGAGGTTGTCTAGCCTGTGAAAGGGGTAACTGGAGTTTTAAGCAGAAAGCAAGTGCAGCTTGGCTTCAAGAATATCTGTAATCTTCCTAAAACAACATTTAGGGTGAAAATTTGCTGCTCATATCGAATTTTGTTAGTATACTAAGCTTAGATTGCGTTTTTTTATTTGCTAGGTAATCTACTTTGATCCTACAAAAGGAACAGGAGGACTTGTGGCACTTTAGAGACTAACAAATTTATTTGAGCATAAGCTTTTGTGAGCTACAGCTCACTTCATCGGATGCATGTAGTGGAAAATACAGTGGGGAGATTTTATATACACAGAGAACATGAAACAATGGGGTTACCCTACACACTGTAATGACAGTGATCAGGTAAGGTGAGCTATTATCAGCAGGAGAGCGGGGGTGAGGGGGATAGTGATAATCAAGGCGGGCCATTTCCAGCAGTTGACAAGAACATTTGAGGAACAGTGGGGAGGGAGCAGGAATAAACAAGGGGAAATAGTTTTACTTTGTGTAATGACACATCCACTCTCAGTCTTTATTCAAGCCTAAGTTAATCGTACCCAGTTTGCAAATTAATTCAAATTCAGCTGTCTCTCATTGAAGTCTGTTTTTGAAGTTTTTTTGTTGAAGAATTGCCACTTTTAGGTCTGTATTTTCCACTACATGCATCCGATGAAGTGAGCTGTAGCTCACGAAAGCTTATGGTCAAATAAATTTGTTACCTCCAAGGTGCCACAAGTCCTCATTTTCTTTTTGCAGATACAGACTAACACTGCTGCTACTCTGAAATCTATTTTGATCTGTTTGCTATCCCTTATAATCACTTAAAATCTATCTTTTGTAGTTAATAAACTTGTTTTGTTTTGTCTAAAACCAGTGTGTGTGTGTGTGTGGAGATTTTAACCTTGGGCAGAAAGCTGTGCTTATCCCTCTCCACATTGAGGGAGGGGGTGATTTTCATCAGCTTACGCTGTACTTTTCTCTGGGCAGCGCAAGACTGTACAGTGTTGGGCTTACCCTCTAGAGGAGGGTGTGCACTTGAGTACTGGGCAATTCCTTAGCTGAGCCTTCCCATGCAGGGCTGATCTCAACATCTGTGTGTATAGCTGCAGCTGGGTGTGTCCCTACCTGTATGTGTGCTGGTAAAGTGCAGTCTGAAGCCTGAGGGAGGGCTTAGCTGGCTTGCCTGGTGGGTCAGGTGGGATCAGTGGTACCCCAGTTCCAAGTGGCCCCCGCGCGGGAACCCATCACATATCCCTCTCCCCATTCTCCCTCTACCCCCCTGCCTTTTTTCTAGCATTCCTAACTCCCATCACACTCCTCCCTCCCCAGATCTCTGACTCATCCTCTCTTCTCTTCTATCTTTCAGCCACTCTCAAGATTCTCCCCAGGTCAGTGTTCCTTGCAGGTAATGCCAACTCTTGTGCTCACTTAGATGACTCATTTTGGGGTGGGTTGTCTCTAGAGGAGAATTCACCTGTGCTTATGCTTTGGGGTTTGGAATCCCATGGGGGTGGGTCTGTGGGGATCCCCTGTTAGCCCCCCCCCTGGACACACCAAGCTCCCGCTTTGTCCAGCCCAGCACCAATGCCAGCCCCACCCAGAGATCCCATAGGTGAGACAAGTTGGTGGGGTCTCAGCCCAGGGAGTCCAGAGGCTGGATGGGTACCCTGCTGCCCCCTAGTGGGGAGGGTGGGGTACATCAACAGGTGGCAGTGTGCTTTTTGGGGGGCATCATCCCCTGAGGTCTTGAAAGGCCAGTTTAGGAGCAAGCCTCATCATTGCAGAACATTCTCCTCCTGCCCCACCCTCATCCCCCTCTTCTCCTGCCCCTGCTCCCCCAGTTCTGTGCCTGTATGCTCCAGGAGGGTGGGTCCTAACTCTTTGGCCTGGCCTGGCAGTAGCCCCTGTTTGAGGGTTGGATGTGGGACATCTGTGGGCTTCTCTCTTGGCTGCTGCTTCTGCCCTTGTTCCCAACTAATGCCAATGGAAACTTTTCTTTCCCAGGTGTCCCTGCAGCCCCATCCCTGTCCCTGCACCCCCAGAAGCAGGAGTACCTTCCCGGAGACACTGTTGAGATCAAGTGCTCTGCTCCTCCTTCGGTGGATAGCGTTGGAGGATTCCAGTACCTCAGTGATATTGGAAAGGCCATCACAGTCCTAGCTTCATCCAGGACAAGCCATATCTTCAAGATGAGCCTCACAGGGCCTGAGGACGGGGGGTCATACCATTGCAGATACTGGATAGGCCAAGGTCATTCTTGGAACAGGTCCAGTGACAGTGATGCCGTCCTCATTAGAGTGAAAGGTGAGCTCTGCACAGTCTCTAACATTTCTTTGGGTCAGAGGTGAACACTTCCAAGATGCATAAAGACATAAGCAGACAAAAGTATAGCAAGGAACCAGCCAATGACACAGTCCCCCAACATGCCATTCACTTCCCAACTATGGCTGCCCAACGTGGCTAATCCCTCAGTGAATACAGCTACACAGTATGGGTGACCAACGGCCAACAACATGGACACCCAGCATGGCTGCCCAGCTACCAACTATGTGGCCCTCCAACATGGTTTCCCTACTACTGATAACATGGCCATCCAATATTGGTCGCCTACCACACTGGAATTCTGTGCCTGGACAAGAGCTGCTAGGCACTATAATAATACAAATAAATAATAATTGCTGCCCAACAGCTGACAACAACCTACACAGCTGCAAAACTGATATCAAACATCTCAGCTTTCAGAAATATGGCTTCCGAACTACTGACTACAGGGCCACCCCCTGCCATGACTGCCAAAAATATAGTCTCCCAACATGTCGGACCAATTGACAACACAATCTCCAGGCTTCCAGAAACGTAACTTATTAGCATGCTTACCCAAAAGCTAGCAACACCCTCAGCCATTGTACAAATACTGAGCCAAATTATGGAAATCAGGCTGCCAACAATACTCACCAAACATGCCCTTCACTTCCCATATAAGGGTAACCAAAATGGCTGCCAAACTATCAACAAAATGGCAACCCAATATGGGTATCCAACTACAAACAACATGGCCACACACTATGGCGATCTAACAGACACAGTCGACAACATGTCATCTGAAATGCCTTCCCAACTAACAACAGGATCACTGAACATGGCTGACAAAAAGCTGACAACATGGCCGCCCCACATGACTGCTCAACATGGCTACCCAATGGCCAGCAACATGAGACTCATCATGACTCTCCAACAGCTAGCAATATAGCAATTCATCATGCCTACCCAACAGCCAACAACATGGCACCCAACATGACTACTTGACTGTCAATAACACGGAGATCTAGCATATGCCTCACACTCAGGACAACCTGATACATAAAGCGAATAAAAGGTTGTTACAAGGAGGAGGGAGAAGAATTGTTCTTCTTAACCTCTGAGGACAGGACAAGAAGCAATGGGCTTCAATTGCAGCAAGGGAGGTTGAGGTTGGACATTAGGAAAAACTTCCTAACTGTCAGGGTGGTTAAGCGCTGGAATAAATTGCCAAGGGAGGTTGTGGAATCTCCATCACTGGAGATTTCTAAGAGCAGGTTAGACAAACAGCTGTCAGGGATGGTCTAGATAATACTTCATCCTGCCAGGAGTGCAGGGGACTGGACAAGATGTCCTCTCGAGGTCCCATCAAGTCCTATATGTCTATGATATTTAAGTTCCCAGAACCTGTTCTCCAACATGACAAACTAATGGCTAACAACACTCACCTTGTAGAATCTGGAGGAAGGAATAAAGCCTAGGCTATCACTTGCAGCTACACAAAGATCCTCATGTAGGGAGGCACGAGGTATCAGTTTGAATCTTACCAGTGTTGAGTTTGGGGCAACATCTCTGCTTTCCCCCCATGTCAACCCCCCACCCCATCCCCGATTCATTCTTGTTGCCTCTCCTAACCTCAGACTTCCCTCCCTGGCCAAAGCTGAGTGTGGATCCTCCGTCCGGAGCGGTGAGTTAAGGGGTCCCCCTGCTCATCACCTGCACTGCCCCCAGCAATGCTGGTGAGCAGAGGTTTCACTTCTACAAGGATGGACCTGAGCTCATCCCCAGGGACATGGGGTCTGTGGTCAGCACAACAGAGACCAGGACCAGCTCTATGATGTTCAGCATCCCATGAGCTGGTCCCAACAGCGCTGGGGAATTCACCTGTGCGTACAAGGAGAACATGAGTGGGAGGTGGATTCTGTCCCTAAGGAGCTTGGCTGTGAATGTTACCATGATAGGTGAAGTTGCCCCAGACTCACCAGTCTAAGATATACCTAATGCTTCCTGAAGGGAGCAGAAGTCATGAATGTACACACACACACACACACACACACACACACACTGAGTAGGGCTCATCCCCTCCAGCAGGGGGCAGCAGGGACACACTCAATCACAGACATTGTGCACATCCCCTCCAGGAGGGGGCAGCAGGGACACACTCAATCACAGACATTGTGCACATCCCCTCCAGGAGGGGGCAGCAGTGATGCACACACGAGCATGCATGCACACACACACACACACACACACACACACACACCTTGCAGCAGGGGGACACACTCGTGCCAGTGTATTATTTCCTGGCAATTTCCTCCTTTTTTGCAGTGCGCAGACATTTCTGGGTCCGGGAGCTGGCTGTGGGTGGGTCCTTCTTCACCATTAATGGCCTCATCTTCCTCATCTTCCACCTCTGCATGAAGGGCAAAGGTAATCGCACATTTCCCTCCACCGTCCCTGTTTTCACAGGAGCTTGGAGAAGCTTAAACAAACGAATCCTGAAATTTCTCCTTCTGAGTCTCACCTGGCAAAGCAGCTGCTGCTGTAGACAACACTGAGCCTAGTATCTGTCCACCCGCCACACCATTATATCTCCTCTTCTGACCCCTCGGCTCCACCTGCTGAAATGCTGGGTAACCGCCACCCAGTAACACTGCCTAGGAGTCCCCAAGGCTGAAAGGCAGCTGCTTCTGGGGTGGGGCGTGGCAGCCGGCGGGCAGCCACAGCGTAATGCCACAGAGGGATCGCTCCTCCAGATGCAGCCGTCTCTGGGGCGGGCCACGGCAGCTGTTTAGCAGCTGGGCATAGATGATGCAGCACTGCAGGCCAGAAAGGAATGCGAATGCAGACTCCTAGCAAGCTGCAGCAGCTCCACATCTCAGCCACAGCTCCAGCATGATCACTGCGGGAACAGCACCCCCTGAAGGGTCTCGCATCCCTCCAGCTGCAGCACAGCGCCCCCTAGTGCTGCACAGGGGCATTGGGGTCAGCACTAATTGTGAGGGCAGAGTGCCCCCTACTGAGACCCTTCCCTGCGCCCTACAGCACAGCGCCCTCTACTGAGACCCCACATTCACCCCCTACTGGCTTCATCACTTTGCTTGCTCCAAAAAGATACCCCCTCAAAACGTGCCCCAAGCTTCTTTCTTTCTTTCTTTCTTTCTTTCTTTCTTTCTTTCTTTCTTTCTTCTTTCTTTCTTATCTGAGTTTTCTCATGTGCTTTTCTCATTCTCAGGTTCCAAGGAGAAGCACGCAGGCATCTCAGACCCATTTCAATCACATTATTACTCAGTCCCTGTTCGATCGGTCATTCGTCAGTCTGGTCATTCTGCGACCGCCAAGGCAAACCACAACCCCAGCCCCCTGTCCCGTGGGAATAATGAGTACCAGGAAGAGGTGTGAAGGCTCCGCTACTGACTGCGAATATTCCTCCCCTGCCCGCGGATGGCTGGCCAGTTCTGCAGCTCAACTGGCTTCAGGGGAGAATGTTTTGCTCCTCAAATATTACAGGCAAACCAAGATATTACTGTGTGTTGCTTTCTTTGCTACAAATGTGGAGAAACCAGATGGGTGTGTTTTGAAGAAAGAAAGGTGACTGGAAAGAAAGAGGAAAAAATGTAACTAAGAAAGAAAGAAAGAAAGAAAGAAAGAAAGAAAGTTTATATTCTCATTTCTCCTCAGTTCTTCCTTCTCTCTGTATATTCACAGCTGTATGAATCCCTGTAAATTCCCCCACCTCCAGCTTTTAATTAAACCATTTTTTTAGCCCCTTCTGGCCTCTGACCCTTGTTTCTTTCACTGTGGTTATTTTGTCCCTCAAACGGTGTGTGTCATTGGCCCTGCACTGCTGACACCGAATGGTAATTCTCCTTTGGACCACAAACTGCAACTCCTTCCCCTGTTGAGTGGGGCTCAGGGCGGCAGTTTCCATGACTTGCTGAGCTACCCAATGGAGCAGAAAACAGCCACCTAGCCCTGAAATTTGAGGGTCAGAGAGAGAGGCAGTCCACGAGGGGAAGGCGCTTGTCATTACAGCAGGCCTGCTACAGTCCCCATCATCTCAATGATACTCAAGGCCCTTATCCTGCACCCAAACCTGACACTGAACTCCCTTTCGCCCCCCTGTCTTTTTATTCACCCCCCTCTCCTCTGTCTCCCCTATGTGCCAGGCTGGGACATACATGGGGATCTGACACTATCATGGCCTGTCTGGCATCCTTGGCTCAGGGAGGGGAGTGGGGTCTAGTGGTTAGGGGGAAGGGCCAAGAGCCAGGACACCTGGGTTCTATCCCCAGCTGAATGGGGTCTAGTGAGTTGGGAGCATGACTGGGAGGCAGGACTCCTGGGTTCTATTCCTGGTTCTGGGAGGGGAGTGGGGTGAGTGGATTAGAGCAGGAGGGGGCAGGCAGGGATCCAGGATGCCTGGGTTCTATTTACAAAAAGAAAAGGAGTACTTGTGGCACCTTAGAGACTAACCATTTTATTTGAGCATGAGCTTTCGTGAGCTACAGCTCACTTCATCGGATGCATACTGTGGAAACTGCAGAAGACATTATATACACAGAGACCATGAAACAATACCTCCTCCCACCCCACTCTCCTGCTGGTAATAGCTTATCTAGAGTGATCACTCACTCACGAAAGCTTATGCTCAAATAAATTGGTTAGTCTCTAAGGTGCCACAAGTACTCCTTTTCCTTTTGCGAAAACAGACTAACACGGCTGTTACTCTGAAACCTGGGTTCTATTTGATGTTCTCCCATGTCTCTCTCTCTTTTTCTTTAGCCGCCCCATCCTGCCTTCGTTCCCAGCCCCGGAAATCTCATCCCCTCCCTTCCCTTCTCTCTAACAGCTGCTCTGGAGATTCTCGCCAGGCCAGTGTTCCCTGCACATAATGCCGACTTCCCTCCTCTCTTTGATGCCCCATTTGGGGTGAGGCTGGCTGTGGGGGGGAGCTCTGCTGCTCCCGCAGTGGGGTTTGGAGGTCCAGCAATGGGGTGTGTGTTCGAGGGCTTTCGCTTCACCTTCCCTGGTTCTTCTCACTCAGACAGCAAGCAGCAAACAGACCAGAAGTCCGAAGTGCAGACAAGGTGACGTTTCTTGGGGTTAATTTCCAAGCAAGCATATTCCAAAGCCCTTCACACCAGTCGGGCTTCTCTCGGTATGCCGATAGAGTCTGTTCCCCAGTGTCCCCTTCCCAGCTCTGATGCCCCAGAGCCTTGTCCCTGTTCCCCACCCCTTAGCAAGCATGATTCCAATTTCCCTTCCCCCCACTTCCTGTTTGACCCCAGTTGATAGTGTAATAATCTCAGCTATACCTTCACCAATCATTTTACTGAGATTTAACCGACCAATCCTAACATATTGTAACATAATTCTCGAACCAATTATATCCCCCCACCCTAATTAACTTACACCCAGCAAAATTAATTATACAGTAGACAGAAACAATTAGAGAAGCAGACAGATTAACAAGAGAGAAGTGGGGGCCATAAAGATAAAACACACAGAAATGAGGGTTTCACAACCACAACCACTGATAAGTGAGTTGTTGCCAGAAAGGATGCTATCAGACTAAGGTTTCTTTAACCATTTTAAGATCTGTTTCTTTCTCTGGAGGCGATGGGCACTATCAGGACAGGATCCTCTTCCGAACAGCCCAATGCCACCTTATTTCAGTGTGGCTGGTTTGGGATGTGAGGATGCGACCATTCGCTTCCCAGCTTATGGCTGCCTCTGTTGCTTAGCCAAAGGCCTTAGCCTAAGAACAGGGCCTCAGAATATCCTCATGAGAGAAGTCCCAGACACAGGTGGACCGTGATTTTCATTCTTTATTTTTATACCCCTGTAACTAGCTAAGTGATAAAAATACACCTAAGTTCTCAAAGTACAGGCCTTTGCAGGCAGGCCTGAATATTTATATTCTAACAGTGTCTATGGGGAATTCCCATCATTCCCGCTTGGAGGGATCAAACTCCCTCGTCCACAGAAGACCCTCTTTTGGAAGACCAAAGTGCTCGGGGATAGAGATCAAGAATGTGGGGGGCTGGTGGATCGTCTCTCGTCACCTTCCCCTGTCTATTCCAGACCCCCTGCTGGCCTCTTGACTTTCCCTGGGCCCCCCACACCACACGTTCCTTCCCAGAGAGCATGTGACCCTGATTTGCTCAGTGCCAGAGAGGGTGGAGGTGACCAAATTCTAGTTCTTCAGGGGAAAGCACTAGGTGGCTGCGAAGGTCCCAGCCCTGGAGCAGAGGGACCAGCTGGGCCTCCAGGCCAAGCTTGTGGTGGCCGGCTTCTTCATCTATGCTACAAGTCAATGTAACCAGGGGGGACGTCCCCTCCAGGCTCAGTGCCTCTGTCCAGGTGCTGGTGCTGGGTGAGTGGCTGTCAGTTCCTCATCCTCCTTGATATCGGCTGGGTGGCGCTGGGTGGCAGGGAGCCCTCCCCTGGCAGTCAGTGCTGACCCCAATGCCCCAGCGTGATGCTAGGGGGCATTGTCACAGTCTCTGAACCCCCGCCCCCATCTCCATGCTCTGATCAGGGAACGTCTCTGTGGGGTGCCGGCCCCCTGCAGGGCCCTCCATCTCTTTGCCCATCACCTCTCTCTGTCCCTCCTGGTGCAGTTTAATCCATCACCCCTCTCTGTCCCGTCCTGGTGCAGTCTAATCACCCCTTTTATCGCCACGGTAGCTTCACACGGAACCCATCCAGCAACCCAGGAACACCCTACCCCCACCCCCAAGTATTGATACAGAGGTCTATGGTGCCTAGAACATCTCAACAGAAGAGTCAATGAAGTTTTCCTGCTTCCAATATCCAGCTCACCAGAATGCAGGAGATGTGGGATAAAGTGGGTATCTTGACTTCAAAGATACATCTGCCTGCCTTGCATCTGTCACTCCATCCTCTGGGACTGAGAAGAAAGGAAGAAAGAAAGATGATGGAGAAGAAAGAAAGAAAGAAAGAAAGATTCTATTCTCATTTCTCCTCAGATCTTCCTTCTCTATGTATAGTCAAAGCTGTAAATTCCCCCATCTCCAGCTTTTAATTCAACTTTTTTTTTAGCCCCTTCTGGCCTCTGAACCAGACCTCTTGTTTCCTTCACTGTGGTTATTTTGACCCCGCAGTGTGTGTCATTGGCCCTGCACTGCTGACACAGAAGGGTGATTCTCCTTCGGACCACAAACTGCAACTCCTTCCCCTGCTGAGTGGGGCTGAGGCCGGTGGTTTCCACCAATTGCTGAGCCACCCAGTGGAGCAGAAAACCGCCACCTAGCCCTGAAGTTTGAGGGTCAGAGAGAGAGGCAGTCCACGAGGGGTACGGGCTGGTCATTGCAACAGGCCTGCTACAGTCCCCATCATCTCAGTGATACTCAGGACCCCAATCCTGCCTCTGAACCTGACGTTGAACTCCCTTTCGCCACCCTGTCTCCTCATCCATATCATTCATTCATTCACCGCACCCTCCTCTGTCTCCCCTATGTGCCAGGCTGGGACATATATGGGGATCTGACACTATAATGGCCTGTCTGGTCCATCCCTGACTCAGGGAGGGGAGTGGGGTCTAGTGCTTAGAGGGGAAGGGCCTAGAACCAGGACATCTGGGTTCTATTCCCAGCTGAATGGGGTCTAGTGGGTGGGGAGGGTGACTGGGAGGCAGGACTCCTGGGTTCTATCCCTGGCCCTTAGAAGGGAGTGGGGTCTAGTGGTTAGAGTGGGGGTTGGGGGGATACTAGACCCAGGACTCTCGATTCTATCCCCAGCCCTGGATGGGGAGTGAGGTCTCCTGGGTTAAAGCAGAGGGACTGGCCAGGCCTCCTGGGTTCTCTGCCCAGTTCTGGGAGGGGAATGGAGTTGAGCAGGGGGGCTGGGTGCCAGGACTCCTGGGTTCTATCCACAGCTCTAGGAGGGGGGCAGGGTCTAGAGTTGCTACTGAAAAATACAGCCAGAAAGCCATGTTGTCACAGATCCACAGGCTCCGTGCTACTCCCTAGCTTTGAAAATGTCTTTTGGCGGACCCCCAGCAGTGTGCCTGACCCCTGAGGGGTCCCACTCCTCTTTCCGCACCCCAGCCCTCTTGCTTCGCACCATGAGCTCTGCCCAGCGAATCCAGACGATACAGACCCCCACGGCAGAGAAGTGACCCAGGTGCCCCCTCTCTGCAGTGACACCCACCCCAAACAGAGCCGGGGTTATTGCTCAGCAGGACCTCACCAAGGGAAGGCCTTAGCTTAGCCCAAAGAAATAACAGCTAACACACACTCTGTGCTGGTCAAGCCCCAGCAATTCACCCCGAGCTGTAGCGTCCTCAGACTCTCTCCTTGACCTCCTTCGTTAGCCCCAGCAGAGAGGACACCCCGCCCCCCCCCCCCCCGCCCCCTCTCCATCCTTTGCTCCTGAGCTGGGGTCTCTGCTCAGCTTCCCTTTTGAGAAGCGGGGAAATCTGTCTGCTCTGGGTGCTGGGCAGTGGGTTTGTCCCTGTCTTCTCCATTGAGATGGGGTGGGTCCTTTTAATGACCCAGACAGTCCGTTCAGACAGCGAGGGGACACCCTGCCCTCATGTCTCTCAGTTGGCCCCGAGAGCAAAGTTAATGCCACTGAGGAGTAATGCAAAGCACAGGGGAAACTGAGACATGCGTCGGCTTCATAAAAATATTACAGCCAGCTCCCGCTCCTTACAGAAGACTTTGCAGAAAGTAGCTCATCACGGCCATGAGGACTCGTGGCTGAATTTCCTGTGCACACAGGTCTTATGGGCTGGTCAGATGGG